TTGGTAGTTTGACAGGGATTGCAGTGAATCTGTAGATTGCTTTGGGTAGTACAGTCATTTTCACAATATTGATTCTTCCAATCCAAGAACATGGTATATTTCTCCATCTGTTTGTATCATCTTTAATTTCTTTCATTAGTGTCTCATAGTTTTCTGCATACAGGTCTTTTGTCTCCTTAGGTAGGTTTATTCCTAGGTATTTTATTCTTTTTGTTGCAGTGGTAAATGGGAGTGTTTCCTTAATTTCTTTCAGATTTTTCATCATTAGTGTATAGGAATGCAAGAGATTTCTGTGCATTAATTTTGTATCCTGCTACTCTGCCAAATTCATTGATTAGCTCTAGTAGTTTTCTGGTAGCATTTTTAGGATTCTCTATGTATACTATCATCTCATCTGCAAACAGTGACAGTTTTACTCCTGTCACTGTTGGTTTCCTTTTGTTTCTTTTTCGTCTGTGACTGCTGTGGCTAAAACTTCCAAAACTATGTCGAATAATAGTGGTGAGAGTGGGCAACCTTGTCTTGTTCCTGATCTTAGAGGAAATGGTTTCAGTTTTTCACCATTGAGAACAATGTTGGCTGTGGGTTTGTCATATATGGACTTTATTATGTTGAGGTAAGTTCCCTCTATGCCTACTTTCTGGAGGGCTTTTATAATAAATGGGTGTTGAATTTTGTCGAAAGCTTCTTCTGCATTCTATTGAGATGATCATATGGTTTTTCTCCGTCAATTTGTTAATATGGTGTATCACATTGACTGATTTGCATATACTGAAGAACCCTTGCATTCCTGGGATAAACCCCACTTGATCATGGTGTATGATCCTTTTAATGTGCTGTTGGATTCTGTTTGCTAGTATCTTGTTGAGGATTTTTGCATCTATGTTCATCAGTGATATTGGCCTATAGTTTTCTTTCCTTGTGATATCTTTGTCTGGTTTTGGTATTAGGGTGATGGTGGCCTCGCAGAATGAGTTTGGGAGTGTTCCTCCCTCTGCTGTATTTTAGAAGAGTTTAAGAAGGATAGGTTTTAGCTCTTCTCTAAATGTTTGACAGAATTTGCCTGTGAAGCCATCTGGTCCTGGGCTTTTGTTTGTTGGCAGACTGTTAATCACAGTCTCAACTGGTCTGTTTATATTTTCTATTTCTTCCTGGTTCAGTCTCGGAAAGTTGTGCTTTTCTAAGAATTTGTCCATTTCTTCCAGGTTGTCCATTTTATTGGCATAGAGTTGCTTCTACAGACAACTGTGTTATCACCGAGATTTAAACCTCTTGATTTTGTTTTGTTTTGAAAAGTGCATTTTATTACTCAGCAACTGGTTCTAACAAAGAAAGTCAATTACTATCAATTGTCTCAGAACCAGATTTATAGAGATTTTAAAAGTTTTTAACACCAGAATTAGCACGAGAACTTTTAAATATTTAATTAGGAGATAAGTTGTGAATATTAATAATACAAATAAAAATAAATAGCTGACCATCACTAGTACAGAGTACTGTTACAAAAAGTAGTTAGACTTTTTACCAGTTAAAATCAAGAAAAGTCAGGATCATTTAGTTCTCTGATTCCAGGTAACATCCTGTGCCCATAGTAGAGCGCTTCTTATGCAGTCAGGTTTCTTAAATGTACCAGGCATCCGGCAATGCTGTTATGTCCCATGAGTCAAGGCTTCCTCACCCAGGACCTACTACAGGACTTGGCAACTGTCATCGTTGAGTGTCCTGGAAAAGGTCCTTCACTGGAACACTTTATGCATCCTTTTTCAGGAAGCTACTGGAGGATGAGCTCCATCAAAAATTTTCTCTTTAACAGTTAAGGAAACTGAGGCTTTAGCTGCTCTGATGACCATCTGCTGTTTACCTACTCCAGCTGACAGCAGGAAAGAGGTGAGGTGGGGCCCAACCCACAACTGACTCTCCAACTGGGCAGCCTGTAAGGCCCAGCCTGGATCTACAGGCGACCTCCTCCAACGGGAAAGATGAGAAGCGTGTAGGAGGCAGGGGGTGCCTGTGTTTTGCTCGGCAGCCAGAGCAAGGGCAGCAGCGAGCGCCTGGTCCTGAGAATGCTGGAAGGTGCTGGGCTGCGTGGCTAAGCTCCTCACCTGGCGTTACGCTGTGCTGGGCTGCGCCAGTAGGACAAAGGTACTACATGATTCTCAACTGACTTACACGGACTTAAATAAGACGTGTAAACAAATTATTGGAGTTCAGTGGTTGAAGTGGGCTCCAAGTCAGACTGTCCTGGATTTGAGCCCGGGGTTTTCCACTTTACTGTGCAAACTAAGAAGGCAGAAGAGGTGATTCCCCTACCACCTCCTCCACCTATTATGCTCAATTCCAGAGTACTGTTGCAAAAGTAGCAAAGGTACGGTTGTTATTACCTCACCACTGTGTTCTGAGCTTAGAGGAAATGCTGCCAGGACTTCTATGGATTTCAGAATAATCCACAGCCATGAAGGTCAGTGAAGTTCAGAAAAATCAACTTCTAAAAACTCATTTATGGGACTTCCCTGGTGGCGCAGTGGTCAAAAATCCGCCTGCCAAGGCAGGGGACACGGGTTCGAGCCCTGGTCTGGGAAGATACCACATGCTGTGGAGCAACTAAGCCCGTGCACCACAACTACTGAGCCTGCTCTCTAGAGCCCACGTGCCACAACTACTGAAGCCCACGTGCCCAGAGCCCGTGCTCTGCAACAAGAGAAGCCACGCAATGAGAAGCCCGCGCACCACAACGAAGAGTAGCCCCCGCTCACCGCAACTAGAGAAAGCCCGCGCACAGCAACAAAGACCCAACATAGCCAAAAATAAAATAAAATTTTTAAAAAGTACTTAATTTTTTTCTTAGAGAGTACAAACCGACTTTAATGATGTGGAAGTTGAGGCACAGAGGATGCCAGACCTGACCCAGGCAGACAAGGAGGAAGTCGGGAAGCTGGGCTTCAACCCAGAACGTTCGTCTCCGACCTGCCAGTTACCTTCTGTTTGACCGCACTGCTCTCTCCAGAGGAAGACAGCTGAAATCGTGGATGTGCACGGGATCTCGAGAGGAAAGATGGCCGAGAACAGAAGTTGGGGAAAGGCTTGCACTTAGGAGAGGAACTCATACAGGAGGAAAAGAGGGAGCGGAACTGAGAGCTGACACTGTCAGGGAGGAAGGGGCTCCAAGGGGCCCTCACAGGGCTTAGTTAACAGCACTTCAGAGGGAAGGCTCAAGGTTCAACGTCAGGAGAAAGGAGAGAAGCAGGTGAAAGCTGCGGTGGCACAGCACACCTGTTGAGATCGGTCAGTGTAAATTAATTCAGCATCTGTAGGACTGTGGGTAAACAGAGACATTTATGTCACTGTTGGCACTGGAATCTGCTCTTCAAGTCAGGCCAGTCTCGAATAGTGAGAACCTTTCAGAAAACTCATCATACCCTTTTGCCCTTGGAGGCGGGGAGAATTGGTCCAAAAAGTGAAGCCAGATGGCAGCACTCCGCCATCCCCTGGGGTCTTCAGCACTCTTCCCCAGCGTCCGTTTTCAGCTCTGACTTCCGAATGACTTGGTTCTGTGGAACACTGACCTGGCAGGAGCTGGTGTCGCTGATGTTCCTGATGGGGTGGCGGAGGATTCAGCAAGACTCTTGAGTTGGAAGTTGAAGATGAAATGGATGAGGTAGAATGCCTCCTTGAAGAAGTGAGTCCACAGGGCCCTCTGACATCTTCCAAAGGAAGGTCTTACCACAAGGCTGGAAGGATAATCAGGATGCCACCTGGGTGCTCTGTCCCTCCCCAGATGATGGTCTGGCCCACCAGAAATAAGTACAGGTTATTACGAGCTGGTGGTGAATATGAGCGCGTCATCCCTGTGGTTTACCAGCTGAAACGACAGCCTCCAAAGAAAACACACTATGACCAAGCCAGAGGGACTGGAGTCCGGGAGAGCCTCTCACAAATCACTGGAATGTAACTGTGAGAGCTCAAAAACCACGTTCCCCTGCAAAGTAACAGAGATTCGAGGCAGATGCTATAAAGTTTAGGCAATACCCAGCAGCTCTAGAGGAAACAAATTGCTGAGTTCCAGCTTCAAGGAAGAGCTAAATATTGCATCATATGGTATCTCTCTTGATTGAACTATTAAAGCATTATATCAAAAAACAAGAAAACATGATGACATTGTAAAGCCTTTGGAAATATAAGTTGTAAAACAGCAAATAAACTGAACCGTAAAAGTGAAAAAAAATATATTGATTTGTTGTTGTTTTTGTTAGGATCGTTTCCTCGCGGTACACTCTTCCATTGAGGTTTAAAATTATTTAATTTTCTAAACTGCCAAAGTGTGAAACCATTATTTTACTTTCAGATTTATCTTCTCCCTAATCCAGTTTTCGGTTTTCAGTTAGAACTGACATACCGATTTATAGGTGGTCCTTAATGCTCTGATAGGAATATTTGAGACATGAATTATATTCTTGGAACTGTCTTGTACTGATGGGATTGGATTCACATTTTTATGATTGCTGAAAATGAGAATAAGCAAAAATGAAAATTTTCAAAGACTGTTTTTTATAACTGTGCTTAAACTTTAAAATGCGATTTTCTTAAATTCCAAGGCTGGTTTCATTCAACAAATAAACCATGATTTTTAGTCCCCCTTTAAATTCTTGGCCACTCAAAACTCGTCATTGCCATTGATTTGGGCTTCTTTCTGGTAGGCAGGCTTCTGTGACAGTACTACAAGTTGCTCCATTTTGTTCTGACTTTCATCTGAAAATCATTTTACTAACGTTGGAGTTTATGTTACAGAAATGTCAATTTGTACTTTGTGAACTTCACGTACCACTCCCTCTCTAGGAGCACTACCACAGTCATGCTACCACGGTGCCAAAGAATTGTGATTGTAATTCCTGTATCCACAGGTTTAAAATGTGAATTTTACATAACAGATAAAAGATCTGAAAAATTAAAAAAAAAAAAGGTAGACAGTACCTTTTTTTTTTTTTGTAAAGTATAATTTCCACTTTATCGTCTTCCCAGGGACAGTATTTCTTCAGTCTTCAAGGACTTAGCTCCTTACATGGGCTTTGGCGGAGGTCATGGGGCGGCACCCACAGGTCTAAATCAGGGTGGAGGTGTTCGGTCCTTCCGGGCTTCCTGAGAACGACTCTTGACTACGTTGCTGTGAATGGCACAACTCATGCAGTCATGCAGTTTCACATACAGCTTGGGAAGCACATAGGCGTCAAAAACGCTCGCTTCGGAAATGTCTCTGACCGCTGCGGCCTCTACGATGTTCCAAATGACGGATTTCTTAACGGCCTTATCCCTGGGCACGCATCCGGCACAGCTGGTGCAGCGAACAGGCTGCACGTGGCCACGGCCCTTTTCGGCATGACCATTATTCCTTCTTTTCTTGGTCATCTTGGAAGCGAGGAGGTGAGAGAGGTTTAAATATTGTTGATATATATATATGTGTGTGTGTGTGTATATATATATATATATATATATTTTTTTTTTTTTGTAGCAGCTTATTTTCAAGAGTGAAAACCTAGAAATAACCTAAACGTCCATAAAAAGATGAACAGGTAAACTAACAGTGGTACATCCAGATAAGAATGCTACTCATCAAAAAGTAAAGAGATGAGCTATTTGTTTATATCACTGATGAATCTCAAATAATTATGAAACAAAGGAAACCAGAAGAAAAACCCAGTAAACAGTTCATGATTCCAATCAGATAAATTCAAGAAAATGCAAACGTATCTATTCTAAGGGAAAGTACATCAGTGGTTACCTGGAGAGGTGGGAAGGGCAAGAAGAGATAATAATAGGACATGAGGTAAATATAGGCATTATCAGAACTCTGATGATGGTTTTGAGGTTCATACCTAGGTGAAAACTTATTAACTTGTAATACTTCAAACATATGCAGTTTAGTACATGTAAATTATACTTTAATATAGCTTTAAAAATTGGCTCAAGATGAAAAAATCTCTATGCCTCACTCTGGAAAATCGGTTTGGCAACCATATACTGAATCCACCAACTTGCTCCTTCGGCCCTCTGGAGATCAGTCTTCCCTCAGTGGTAGCAAATATGGAGAGCAATGAAGTACTTCCTGGACACCAAGCCAGGCTCAGGCTCTAAGGGAGAGAGCACCTAACCAACCTGACCTAACTCCAGGCCCCAAAAGGCCTCCTGGGGCCTCAAGAAAGCTTGGGACTTCCCTGGTGGTGCACTGGTTAAGAATTCGCCTGACAATGCAGGGGACATGGGTTCGAGCCCTGGTCCAGGAAGATCCCATATGCCTTGGAGCAACTAAGCCCATGTGCCACAACTACTGAGCCTGCGCTCTAGAGCCTGTGAGCTGCAACTACTGAAGCCCGCACGTCTAGAGCCCACGCTTCGCAACAAGAGAAGACACTGCAATGAGAAGCCACACATCGCAATGAAGAGTAGCTCCTGCTCGAAGAGTAGCCCCCACTCGCCGCAACGAAAGAAAGCCCACACGCAGCAACGAAGACCCAACACAGCCAATAAATAAATTAATTAATTAAAAAGCTAAATGTAGCACTCATGATCCTTTGTATTTCTGCAGTGTCAGTTGTTACTTCCCCTTTTTCATTTCTAATTCTGTTTTGAGTCTTCTCCCTTTTTTTCTTGATGAGTCTGGCTAACGGTTTATCAATTTTGTTTATCTTCTCAAAGAACCAGCTTTTAGTTTTATTGATCTTTGCTATCGTTTCCTTCGGTTCTTTTTCATTTATTTCTGATCTGATTTTTATGATTTCTTTCCTTCTGCTAACTTTGGGGTTTTTTTGTTCTTCTTTCTCTAACTGCTTTAGGTGCAAGGTTAGGTTGTTTATTCGAGATGTTTCCTGTTTCTTGAGGTAGGATTTTATTGCTATAAACTTCACTCTTAGAACTGCTTTTACTGCATCCCATAGGTTTTGGGTCATCGTGTTTTCATTGTCATTTGTTGCTAGCTATATTTTGATTTCCTCTTTGGTTTCTTCAGTGATCTCTTGGTTATTTACTACTGTATTGTTTAGCCTCCATGTGTTTGTATTTTTAACAGATTATTTCCTGTAATTGATATCTAGTCTCATAGCATCGTGGTTGGAAAAGATTCTTGATACGATTTCAATTTTCTTAAATTTACCAAGGCTTGATTTGTGACCCAAGATATGATCTATCCTGGAGAATGTTCCATGAGCACTTGAGAAGAAACTGTAATCTGCTGTTTTTGGATGGAATGTCTCATAAATATCAATTAAGTCCATCTTGTTTAATGTATCATTTAAAGCTTGTGTTTCCTTATTTATTTTCACTTTGGATGATCTGTCCATTGGTGAAAGTGGGGTGTTAAAGTCCCCTACTATGATTGTGTTACTGTCAATTTCCTCTTTTATGGCTGTTAGCATTTGCCTTATGTATTGAGGTGCTCCTATGTTGGGTGCATAAATATTTACAATTGTTATACCTTCTTCTTGGATTGATCCCTTGATCATTATGTAGTGTCCTTCTTTGTCTCTTGTAATAGTCTTTATTTTAAAGTCTATTTTGTCTGATAGGAGAATTGCTACTGCAGCTTTCTTTTGATTTCCATTTGCTTGGAATATCTTTTTCCATCCCCTCATTTTCAGTCTATATTTGTCCCTAGGTCTGAAGTGGGTCTCTTGTAGACAGCATATATACAGATCTTGTTTTGGGATCCATTCAGCCAGTCTATGTCTTTTGGTTGGAGCATTTAATCCATTTACATTTAAGGTAATTATCAATATGTATGTTCCTATTACCATTTTCTTAATTGTTTTAGGTTTGTTATTGCAGGTCTTTTCCTTCTCTGTGTTTCCTGCCTAGAGAAGTTCCTTTAGCATTTGTTGTAAAGCTGGTTTGGTGGTACTGAATTCTCTTAGTTTTGCTTGTCTGTAAAGGTTTTAATTTCTCCGTCGAATCTAAATGAGATCCTTGCTGGGTAGGGTAATCTTGGTTGTAGGTTTTTCCCTTTCATCACTTTAAATATGTCCTGCCACCCCCTTCTGGCTTGCAGAGTTTCTGCTGAAAGATCAACTGTTAACCTTATGGGGATTCCCTTGTATGTTGTTGTTTTTCCCTTGCTGCTTTTAATATTTTTTCTTTGTATTTAATTTTTGATAGTTTGATTAATATGTGTCTTGGCGTGTTTCTCCTTGGATTTGCCCTGTATGGGACTCTCTGCACTTCCTGGACTTGACTGACTATTTCCTTTCCCATATTAGGGAATTTTTCAACTATAATCTCTTCAAATATTTTCTCAGTCCCTTTCTTTTTCTATTCTTCTTCTGGGACCCCTACAATTCGAATGGTGGTGTATTTAATGTTGTCCCAGAGGTCTCTGAGACTGTCCTCAATTCTTTTCATTCATTTTTCTTTATTCTGATCTGTGGTAGTTATTTCCACTATTTTATCTTCCAGGTTACTTATCCGTTCTTCTGCCTCAGTTATTCTGCTATTGATTCCTTCTAGAGTATTTTTAATTTCATTCATTGTGTGGTTCATCATTGTTTGTTTGCTCTTTAGTTCTTCTAGGTTCTTGTTAAACGTTTCTTGTATTTTCTCCATTCTATTTCCAAGATTTTGCATCATCTTTACTATCATGACTCTGAATTCTTTTTCAGGTAGACTGCCTATTTCCTCTTCATTTGTTTGGTCTGATGGGTTTTTACCTTGCTCCCTCATCCGCTGTGTGTTTCTCTGTCTTCTCATTTTGCTTAACTTACTGTGTTTGGGATCTCCTTTTCGCAGGCTGCAGGTTCATAGTCGCTGTTGTTTTTGGTGTCTGCCCTCAGTAGGTAAGATTGGTTCACTTTGTGTAGGCTTCCTGGTGGAGAGGACTGGTGCCTGTGTTCTGGTGGATGAGGCTGGATCTTGTCTTTCTGGTGGGCAGGACCGTGTCTGGTGGTGTGTTTTGGCATGCCTGTGAACTTATTATGATTTTAGGCAGCCTCTCTGCCAATGGGTGGGGTTGTATTCCTGTCTTGCTAGTTGTTTGGCATGGGGTGTCCAGCACTGGAGCTTGCTGGCCATCGAGTGGAGCTGGGTGTTAGCGGTGAGACAGAGATCTCTAGGAGAGCTCTCGCCAATTGATATTACATGGAGCTGGGAGGTCTCTTGTGGTCCAATGTCCTGAACTTGGCTCTCCCACCTCCGAGGTTCAGGCCTGACACCTGGCCAGAGCACCAAGACCTTCTCAGCCACACAGCCAGGTACGTGGGGAGTTTCTTGCCTTTTGGGAAGTCTGAGGTCTTCTGCCAGCGTTCAGTAGATATTCTGTAGGAGCTGTTCCACATGTAGATGTATTTCTGATGTATTTGTGGGGAGGAAGGTGATCTCCTCGTCTTACTCCTCTGCCATCTCAAAGGTCCCCTTCAAACTCTTTTTCAAAGTCGTAGCACTTGCACTTCCACTGTTCACTGGCTAGTGCCAGCAGTCTCCAAGTCACATCTCCCACCTGCGTCTGTCGCCTCCAGCACAACTGTGATGGTGCTCGCTGATTCCACCACCACCGTTGCCCCAGTGAGCCCGTGGGGGGCCCCCAGGTGAGCTGGGATGCAGAGCTATCCCTCTGTGGCCTGCTGAGGCTCATTGCCCGACGGGAAATGGTTAATTAGAACACTCAGAACACCAAGTACATCTGCAGCTGTTCCTGCCCCTGATTTTGCCATAAAGATCCTGACCTTCAGGGGCACAGAGGGACTCGCCCTTGGCATCCAGGAGCTAAAACTCAAAGGTTAACCAGCTTCATCTTCTCACCTCCTAAAGACCCAAAAAACAAAAAACAAAAACCTAATGCATTCTTAAAGGTCATCCACAGACACTATGAATCCTTCTTAATGCTCTAGCATTTCAACATGTCACAGCGTTATTAAACCCTAAAAAGGAAAATTCACAAATTAATTCTGCACTAAAGAGAAGCCCCGGGTGAAAACTCAAATCCCGACAATTGAGAGTAAGACTCCTTAGGCAAGAAAGTTTATAAATATCATCGGTGGGTAGAGGGGTGGTAGGATACCCTCCGTGAGGTAGATCCCCAGAGTTACTGATCTCACTAATACAGTTTATTCTGTCCCCATTTCTCCAGCTTCACAGTCGCAATTTGCATCTATCTATGAGGTGCCCCGATACACCCTCACTCAGTTACCTGTGGGCTACATCAATATCCCCACCATGGGGGACTTTCCTGGTGGTCCAGAGGTTAAGACGCCACGATTCCACTGCAAGGGGCACAGGTTCAATCACTAGTCGGGGAAGTAAGATTGTCCCCACCATGTATGCAGACAGGACCTTCATGGGTTTGCTCTGTTTTCAAACACCAGCTATGGCCTTTGACTGCCAATATTCTACTGAGGCCAGAAACTCATGAAGTTACTGCACAAGAC